TAAGTTCATAAGTCGACAGTAGGGGTGTGCAAAAAAATCGATTCACATTTGAATCGCGATTCAATCTTTACCGATTCAGAATCGATTCATAGAATTCCAAAAATCGATTCTTTTTTTTTTTTTTTTTGGCGTGCACGGGTGGAGTGGCAATCGGGTGAGTCGGGACTTTTACCGGTGGTCCGGTAGTGTTTCGAGCATAGACTGTAAAGGTTTCGAGGCTGCGAGGGCCGGTCTGATAAATAGTTATACATTGCAAGTTCTTGCCGCCCGCTGGTCAAACTGTGCAGCCTCTCTGCTCAACCCGTAAATAAATGCATCGATCCGCAGATCTTATGTTTGAGTTCTGTAGATCTTTTGCCAAGCGTGTCAGAGGTTACGGGTTCTAAACCGCACTCGTATAGTGTTTTCTCTCTCTCATCAAAACCGAATATGTTCATCACGTTTGTGTGCATTTTATTTTGTGATTTTACCGGAGTCTCCACAACGGCGATAGATTGAAGCGCGCGTCCGAGTGAAGACTGCGCGAGCCACAGAGAACACTGTATCCATGACACTGATAGCAGCGGACACGAGCGCTCAGCTTGATTTCAAAAACAACAGATCTCTTATTTAATAGCGAAATAAATTTATGGTCTGCTAGTTAACTGGAGATACCCGCAAATTACGCCTATGAACGACTTCACTGGATCTAAACAAATCAATCTAACCATAGATGTTACCAGTAGCGGTGGCTTTTTAAAATAATTTCGCAAGGGTTCTATGACATTGATATATATTTTTAGGAAGTTCAATATGCCCAGTCGAGTTCACATTTCAACAGTCAACCTGGTAGCTGAAGTAGTCCTTAAACCACATTTAGCATAATTGTTTGTTTGATCTGACTACAGCACTTTAAAGCTAAATGTAAAAGCTTCTATTTAAGTTTTATTTTAAACTTGAATTAAATGTAAGCTGGCCAAAGCTTGGCACTTTGCACTTTTTAGTTGCAGAAGTTTTTATTTTTGTATGAAGTCATATAAAGTAATATCAAACTACATTTAATTTGTTGTTTTTTTCTTTTAAATTGTGTCTACTGCAATCAATCACAGGAAAAAGTAAACTACATTTATATACTGCGAATCGTTTTTGAATCGAAAATCAATTTTGAATCGAATCTTGAGACAAAAAATCGGTATCGAATCGAATCGTGACATTTTCTGAATCGTGCACCCCTAGTCGACAGCATTGCTGAGTATTTTCTGCTTAAAACTGCAGTGAACCAAAGACAGTCTCAAAAACACGGTTTGAAATCGCTGGTGTTTCTGACGTCACAAACGACCTTGTAACCAATCAGATCAACAAGTGATCGTCAACCAGTGGATCTCTGAGCTGAGGGAGTGAGTGAGTGGAGGCGGGGCTCATCTGCATATTCATAGAACCGCACATACTAAATGAGGCACGGGTGTCGAGTTACATTCAAGATATTTTAAGGCATGAAGAAATTTTTTTGCACAGGAAAAAAACTTTTAAATATGCCATTTTGGTGATAAAAGATACAATTATGTATTAATTTATTAAAAACGGGGTTCAATTATTGACTACAGGGGACCTTTAAAAGAAAGAAATGAAAATGAATAAAATGCACTGGGTAAATGAAAATGAAAAACACTCGCTTGATCATCTGAGAATGTATTTGTGATCAGCAATTCAATGTGCCTTAAAGGGGTCATGAACTAGCTTTTTTAATTGTTTTATATTGTTGTCTGAGGTCAACTTATGACGTTCGCTTGGTTTTTACATTCAAAAACATCAAAATGAATAAGTAATAGGCTATTTTCTACCCTAGTTTTGAGCCTAGCTCAAAAACGCTCGGTTTTTTTGGGCGTCTCGCATTGAAGACTTGGAAGTAAACGCCCACTGCTGTGAGTGGATAACAGTTTTGCATATTATAATGAGTTTCATGTAATGCGCGAATCGGTGGGCGGGGCTAAACCGTCCGTGTTGAAGTAGGCGTTGATCTTCTTCTGCGGGGGGGGTGTTTTATCCTCTGTGTCGTCATAGTTCCCCACTTTGAAAAACGAGTCGTTTGCTGAGCCTGGTGTCAATAAAAGTATTGGACTAACAGGGACGTTTCCAGTTCTGAAACTTACAGGATATTCTTATAATATGATGACCTCTTAGATGTCAAAAGCTCAAGGAAAATTTAATTTCTCAGTTCATCACCCCTTTAATCAGGATAATCGTTCAGATGGAACAAAAACAAAAAGCTAAAAAAATGCTGTGAAGTATTCATATTTCATTGTTGGTTTGAACAATTACGATTAAGTAGTATAACATACAATCTTATCGATTACTCCATAATCGTCTATTCATATTTTCTCAAAATACATGATTAGAATCCCAAATAAATCTCTATATAACGTAAACTAGCATTCAAAGCACATCAGATTTACCAGTCACAGAGAAACAACCGAGGCGGAAGTGTTTATTTTCTTCATAACAAGCGACTATCTGAACAAAAGGAGAGCTGGCCCGTGTTGTAAGTGTGTTAACACTCCACCATTCATAACAACACACGTCACAATCAAGGGCGTCTCACGGATTCACAAGAGACACACCAAACACATCACGACCCAAAACAATCAATGCCATTCAGAGATGTGCACAGGATGTACTCAAGGCTAAGGAAAATATTACTTTGCTTTGTGTTATATATATATATATATTTTTTTTTTTTTCAGAGTTATTGCAGGAAACCTAACATGGAATAATAGAATTCACTCTAATGTGACATTTGACACGGAGCTTTCACAATTTTCTTATTTTCAGCTCGTAGTACAACACACACGCACATTATGGGACACTGTCATTAATTTGCATGTTGGAAAGTGTGACACCAAACGCTGATGTCCTGTCTCCTGGAGTGTATAAGTAGCTCCCTCAGTGACAGAGTCCCTCCCCACTGGAGAAAGAGCCGAAAATTACAGAGAACTAAAAGAGACAGCTGTGTCAGACGCGCCCAAACACACACACACTAATAAAAGGCGCTACACACAGAATCTAAAACCAGCAATCGGCCATTTTAAGACATACTATACTGTATTTTCTGCAGTTGCGTAGCTTATGCTATGCTGAAGTTGATCAAGTCAACATGTAATAGCATTCACAACCCAGTTTACTTCTGCAATGTGATGTATTTCAGAGTGAAGACAGGCTAAAACAAGATATAAGAAAGCAAACTGTAGGTGCGTCCCAATTTGCGTACTTATGCACTATGCTATTCTTCACACTGAAGATTGCAACAACAAGAAGTGCACTTTAACACCCAGTTGATACACTTAATTAACCGTAAAAACTAAGTGTGGGATGTTGGAGACTTCATGCACTCGACTGTCGCAGCTTTTATTATAAAATTCATATACTACACCGGGGCTTTTCAATCTTTTATAATATGATGAAAAATATAATGATTCGTATGGGTGTCCACCCATCCTAATATTTAAAAGATAGTTGAATATTTTTTATGTAAAAAGACCCAATTAATACTGTGAAAAAAAAATATTATAAATGTGTAAACTATTTAGTTTCTATTAGCATACTTCATTGTGTTTTAACTAAAATGTATTTTATACATGTATTTAAAAAAAAAAAAAAAAAAAAACATTTTAATCAAAGTATGAATATAGGCCTATAAAATTTCAGTTATTTTAATACATTTTTTTTATTTAATCTTATTTTTATTTATTTGTTTTTACATTTTACACTGATTTTCTTATATTTTTTTTAATGAAATTTTATTTATTTTAATCAAATGTATTAATTTATTATTGATTTTACTTAAATAAAATTGTATTTATTTAAAAAATTATAAAAAATAATAATGTTTTTTAGTTAATTGGATCAATCTTATTTTTATTAATTTATTTTTAAATTCTCCTAGTGCATAGTGTGAACAGTGTATAGTGCGTCATTTGGGACAACTTGAGTCTTTCTCCTCCTGTTCATGACTCACAGCAATGCCTTCTGGGATTATGACAATATTCTATTTAAATACAACACTTGCGTTTCTAGTTTACATTTAAGAACATAAATGCTTTAATGAAAAAAGGCTAGATTATGGAGATACAAGGACTTTTTATACCACATACCGATTCACAGATTCATTTAGTTTGGATGATACAAACTAGTTCAGTCATTTAAGTTACAAATTACAAAAAAAGTTGTAACTGAAATAAAAATAGTAATAAAAAAGTTAAAGTACTGAAATGAGTACAACTGAAAAAAGCTGCAAATCACTGTTCCACTAACCAAATATCACCTACATCTGGTTATGAGACTGCTACAGAAATTATAGAGCAAGTTATGAATGAAAAGTAGAGGATGTTACACAACACGCTTTTTTCACAACACAAAGAGACCAAAAAATGAGTAAGCAATAACTAAATCTTGACTTACCTAATTGGCGTGTTGAAACAGATGATGTCGGGGAACATAGAGGAGAAAGAAATAAAAAGAGCATCACTTACGACTGTATTGCACTTTGTATACATGCATGAATGGACAAGGGTGGTACATATTCACACTAAAAAAAGTGCTAGAAGAGAAATGGGTGGTGGAAACCGAGAGATAAGATTGTCACTGTTAGGTGTCACCAATGGTAGTGCAAGAATCAATCACAACAGCAGAGTGGAGATGCAAAAATTGTGAGGGAACAACAACACCTCCTCGGATAACTGCAAACCAAAGCGTTTTGATTAGTATAGTACACCCTGGATCACAAGGTTAATGGGGGGAAGGGGGTGGGGTTCTTTCTTGTTTGCACAAAGTCGGTCATTCATTGTGGAAGAAACACCCAAGCAAAACCAAGCCAACCCGCTTTAAACGAACCCTAACCATTGAGTCCAGCTGACGGGGTGACATGTTAGTTATTGGGGTGTGCAGTTTAATCACTCAAGCCCAGGCTTGGAATCCACACAGCCATGCATTAAGTGGATCCAGCTCCCAAAACGTCCACAACAAACCTTCCAATGTGAAGGGCAGTCCTCCGGCTTGCTCCCGAGGTTCTGCAAAACTAGGGAAGAATGGCGGAGCGGCCGGATTCAAACCGGAAATCTGTGGAGACGGCAACTTTGCATCAGGGGAAGTTGGACTTTTTGATGAGGATGAACTGGACTTCTTGCCTTGTTTGGTTTTTGGTTCCTTTGGGGATTTGCTCTTTGGTGAAGGAACTGGGACTTGGGTCTCAAATGCAACATCTTCCAGATCAAAAGGTTGATTGTGGTTGTTAAGAGACCACGCAGGTCCAGATGGAGAAAATGGAGGCGCTGAGATTAGCTCTTCCATCGGTGGTACAAAACAAGTGCTTCCAGGGGTGGATGCCTGAGGCTGCTTCACTCCTGAGTCTTCGGTGGCCATGGAAGAGGTGTAGGGATGTTCTTGTCCAAACATCGCCTCCTCAAAAGTTCCTCCAGGAGAAGGTTGAGCATCATTGAGAAGAGAATCAGCTTTTCCCAGAGGTGATGGAAGGGTGAAATCATCTTCCGTGTCCATGAGTATATCATGGAATCCAGATGACGTGGATAAGGGGTGCTGATCGGGGGCTCGACCGGGAGACTTTAGGGAGATCGTTGCAGGAGTTGTGGATGGTGGGGAAGTAGCTGTGAGAGACAGGAGATCTTGGGTAAGAGACAGAGGAATGAGACTCCCATCAGTGTAGTCCTCAGAAAACGACACTAGACCACTGTCAACTCCAAGGGGTGATTGAGTAAAATCAGTTGCGAACTCTTGCGGCACGGAGGCCGAAGAAGGGACGAAGGGTTCGGCATGGATCGCCCATTCCTCGGGTATCTTCTTTCGGCTTTTCGGCTTCTTGGCTCTCCCACCAATGCGCCCGACGTCTTCCCAACCTCCATCTTCTTTGGATTGATGGAGGCTCTCGGATAAAGCACTTTCGCTTTGCATTTCCGCGTGGAAGTCGTAAACCTCGTCCCTGGGTCTCCGCTTTTTCTTCTTCTTTTCCTTCTTACGGTCAGATCCTTCGCCTTCCCTTTCCTCGGCATCTCCCACACTTATGTCTCTCGGGGACCACTGGGGATCGGTCGTATCACTCTGGCTTTCTACCAGGTGACTTGCATGGCGACTGATAATGGTGGAAACGCTGGGTGTGAAGGGCAGGTCAGAAGGAATGCCGGCCTCATCGGACCAGTGATCACCAAAGACACCTCATATACAGAGAAGAAAGGAAATTAGAGTAGCACTAACTCCCTTTTTCGCTCTCTCACACATGCACAAAGGCATTCGCTAAATTCTTAAATCACGCCTCACTCCCAGACAGATGTAAGATATTCCCTACAACCTGTGAAGATCTAAATCAGATAATTTAACCATCTTTTGAGATAGTTGCAGCCCTGGATGCTGACTGGTCTGAAATACACAATATAGTCAAAACTATTACATGAAACACATTGCCTTATTTAACTTCTATAATAAAGCAGTTCATTAAAGGATGTGACCAAAATTAAGGTGCTGAAATAAGGAGGTTTGATGGCACTTTAAGATAAAGAAACTGTAACTGATGTAATATATTGATGAAGCATGTAAACAGTTCTAAAAAAAAAGCCTAATTTTCTATTTAAAATATCTAAAAATACATTTATCCCAGAATAATCTGCTTGAGAAGCAACACAATGAAATTACTTTTATAGATTGTATCTTGAATATCGATGCATTTTGTCTTTCTGCACAGGCATCTTTTTCAGACAAGTTTAAAAATCTGCCAGGGTAGTAATATTTTTCAAAATACAATCTAAGAAAGCAAGTCTTATTAATCTTATGCAATGTTAATTTTCAAGTAAAATATTGTTTGAAAAATATATTTTTTAGATGTTTTTACTGAAAAAAGTGTTTTTTTCCTTCCTTTTTTGCAGAAGATGTGCACAAAGCAGACTGAGCAACTGAGGTCAAGCTTAACTTATTTGTGTACAAGGTCTGGCTTCCTCTATAAGAAATAACGAGCAGAAATAATGATTTGTGGGGCAAATCCCATTTGGGGATTTGTGAGACGACTCCTCGTATACTAAATGACTGGACACTAGATAACATGCCTGACTGACCAAGATATCTTTGTCTTGGAAGATAAGGTCTATAACCTAAGGTGTTTTGTGTGAGACGAACTCAAATATTACATTTGCTAATAAAGTATGCTTAAGTCATCATCAAATCGAGTCAGAATTTTTCCAACTGGGTGATTTAACGATCAAGCACTTGATAACTGACCTCGTGCATGAGTTAATGTGACTCTACAAGTCTGACCCTCCATCTGGTAGGTGTCTAACACTGTTTGCACATCAACAACCATCCATGAGCATCAAACCAGGCAGAATATCTTTCTGATATGCGAGGTGAATCTAGGTCTCAGCTGCACTGTACTAACCCTATACAGCCGAGAAACCCTTAAAGGCCCCTGGGACACCAGAAACGAAGGATTTGACTAGCTTTGGCAACTGATAATGTAACTCCGCCTTGCACTAGTTATAGTGCCCCCTAGTGGGCAGCAATAGTTTTAATTACTAATGGATTAGAAATTTGCTCCACAGGGGCTCCTGCAGGAATCCCATAATCCCTAATACAAAACACATGGGAAGTACATGAGGGAAATTGACTACATATTAAGGGCATGAGCAGCATTTAAAGATGATTTGTCACGCTATATATAGATATATGCAGTACTGCCTCATAGAAAGATACTCTAACATTGAAAAATGCTGATATTTGTGCAGTTCTGTGTACATACCTGCAGATGTGTCCAGTGGGCTCTTGGGTGTCGTGGGTGCCAGGGGTTTAGCTGGTATTTTGGGGGATTCGGGTGGTATTTTGGGGGGTTCGGCTGGTATTTTGGGGGGTTCGGCTGGTATTTTGGGGGATTCAGGGGCCTTAACATCTGGTGAACCCTGTGGTTCGGCCACACCAGACGGTCTTTCTGTCTGGAGAGGAGCAGCACCTGTGATCACCGCAGACACTGTGCTAGGCTGAGAGAAACCTATGGAAAATTACAGAAATTCAGAGAAAAAGTCAAATACATGACATATTTATTTAAATACACCATGTACTTGTGGTTTTAAACCATTAAACATTAATTTTCTAGAATGTGAGGTTTTGATAATAATAATAATAATAATAATAATAATGATGATAATCTAATATTAGCAGTAGTAATATAGTATTAATATATAATATATAATAATTATTAATAAAGAATAATATTATTACTTGTAGTAGTTGGATTTATAATATAAGTTATTAATGTATTATTTAAATAACAATCATACTACTACTACTACTACTGCTAATAATAATAAATTAAGATTACAGTATTAAAACATGTTCAACTTATTAAATAAATTATTAAATAAATACTTGACAGCTATATATTTCTTTATATATTTTTTTTCTAAATCTACATTTAATGAAACCTTTTATGCTTCATTTAGACCAGTTTCTTAAGATTTTTCAACGGTTACCACTATCAGTAGGCTGGGAAAACCCAGACAACTTCCGGCAAATTTAGATTTGCTCTGAAAGTTAGTCTGGCAAAGAGCTCATTCAAGCCCATTTCCAATCCGTCGAAATCGAGGCACCAATCAGAAGCGTTGGGGCGGGCTTTACACGATGAGGACAGCGCTGGGATTTTGAAGCAGATTTTGTAGCCTACATTACAAAGATGGATGCCGCCGTCGAACATCACTCGTTCGAATCAGCTATCGCGTCTGTTTTAAGCGGTTTGAACGTTTCCTTTTAGTTAAAAACCGAGCAAAGAACAACACTCGTCCGCTCTGCATACGTCATCTCCTTCATCGCTCTGATTGGGTTTAGGTCTATCCGCGACGTCCGTTGGTGACGCCCCTCTGGAAATGATTTGTCTATGACGCTTTGCCAGACCATAACTCAGTTACAACTGACAATGGTCTGGTGTTAACCAGGCTACACTATCAGCTGAGATGCGGATGCTTCTGTAACACACCGTCTATGATATATGCATGTATATACATGCACGATTATCAGATCAGACACGTGTTTGTTCCTGTATCACATCAGGTATGACAGAAACAGTGAGGTATGTACCAGGTGGTGAAATCCACCGTTAGACACGATCAGTGTCGCATCTGAGCTGAATTCTGATGCGAGCGTGACTCATTATCTCCCAAGAGCCCCTTTAAACCAGCGCTAATATCAGCTATTGTCTTTCTAGGGAAAAACAGGGCTGTTCATTTACCCCACTAATGAATTCACGCTCATTATCATTACTAGCATTACTTCTAATGCGGCCCATTAGACTGCAGAATAAAAGCTCTAGGCTATTTCAAATCAAATCTTCATTTCTCAGCATGACCAGAGATGGAGTTTCTGTCTGTGACTTTCAACATGATGTTGCCACACAATGACGCCAAGAACTTATTAAAGTTTCCCAACATCTATAACCAGTATAACTAGTAGGACTGTAGATGTATATCACATTCAAAACAGGAATTACAGAAGGAGAAGATCTTTATTAAACGAGGTCAGGGGTAATTAGAGGTGTTGTTTTGCCGGACGCACAATTTTAGTAAACCTAATTAATGGCCGGAGAGAGATTCAACAAGATGACACTGCACAAATAAAAGCGTATAATTAACGAGCGGCCCGGCCTCAAGCAGCGAGCACTGAAAAAGCAGCTAAATCACATTAGAATAATGATTTTCAAAGCTCTATATATACACATCCCAAAACTCAATTAGTAAAGATGCAGTCAAAGTATTTGCTATTTGTTGTTATATATATATATAAAGCTTGATTCTGGATGTTATTCACTGCCATTATACAGACGAGTGCAAGGGGAACATTTTTTTTTTGTGGTCCATAAAAGAAAGTAGGGCATACGGCAATAGCACAACACCATGGTAAGTAAATAATGACTTAAAAAGCTTCACACTTTTTCCAGCACTTCTAAGCTCTAAATACTACCTGAACTTAAATGTTATTTTTAATGCGATACCCAGAAACATTTTTTGTTCATTCTTTAAAGATTGTCCCCATTTGTAAATACTAAAAGTTGCAACATGTAGGAAAATGTCTAAAGTTTGCTTGGTGGCAAACAAACACTTATAATAAAAAAATAATAAAATAAATAAATAAAAACTATAGCCAGTAGATGGGGGCAGAGGAGCACTTATTGGCTTATTAGCCATTTTCATTCCAGAATATGTTTTTTTTTACAAGTTTTGCTTTTGAATTTATATTTATACATTATGAAATCACGATTATAAAATATCAAATTATCAAGAAATCAAATTGTGTCAAAGTTTGGCACTTTTTTCGTACTGAAGTATGAAGCTGTCGGTCAGTCCAGCATGATACTATAGAAGAACAATGGGATATTTAATAAGAGTAGAATATTTACAGGGAATTTTTTTTGTTTGGAAAGTTTTTGCATAAAAGTTATTTTTTTCTGCACCTCAACTCAAGCTCAGCACTTTCCTCTCAAATGTGCATTTCCAAGAAATAAACATAATATTATTAGTAATTTTAGGATTGAATTACCTTTATGATTAAAAATCCACCCAGCACAACCAAAATCAGGTAAGCTCTACAGATGCTTTTTCTTTTGCACAGAATTTATAAAACAATTCCGGAAAATGACAAACTATGATTATGACTGTATGATTATTTAGTTTTTTGGTGGTCACCTGAGAACGGTCCCATCGGGCTGCTGTCCATCATCTGTGTTGGGCTTGACTGTGAGCCCCACTGATCAGGAAAACCAGACATCGCCCCTAGAAAACAACAGAGAGACAGAGAGAGATAAACAACAGGGAGTGTCGTACAAGTGTGCAGATGCTGAGCTGCATTTCAATGAGAGGAGAAAAGTGACGAGTGTTTTGTAAGAGGCTTTACAGAGAGACAGAAAACAAGCCGTCACAATCAGCTGGTTATTACTAGAGAAAGGAAACATGTAAATGTGTCGTTTATCAGAAGATCACAGCAACTGCAATGACACATCACATTATAAACCAGCTTAAACAGTGTCTGTGCTGCAGTCGTCAACGATTGACTTTACTAATAGATCAGACTCGGGTGAACAAAATGACCAGACCATATTTTTTGCAAGAGCAACCAATCAGAGCACCCTGTATAAATAAATATACACCCTAAATATGATTTTAGTAAGAAATAGTATCAGTCAGTTCTCCTCCTGTCCACTGATCGTCTGCCGCACATAAAACTGCAAACACGTTCTCCATCTGGGAGTCGCTAATATAATAGGCTGTCGTTAAACCAGTTTTGGGAGTGAATTTCATATGGGAAGAAAGTCATATTACTAGACACTTCTGAGGGAGAACTGAACACCGGATTCACCAACGTGTGTGAGCTTAATGTCATCAACAGGGTTTTATTCGAGGCCCTTAGCAGAAGGAAAGCCTGCTATCCATCAGCAAAAACACATAACATGCAATTTGCACTAGGTCACAAACCAGTTGTACTGGTTGTACTAAAACCAGCCTTAAAATGTTACATAAAACTTTTGTTGGCCGGTTTACATCAGCCAGACGTCTCTTGCTGTCTAAGTGGGCGTATCTTCAGCAGAATAGTCTGCATTGTGAACTAAACCTTATTAAGTAACTGAGTAAAGCCGAAACTGAACTCACCTGATAGTAAGTCTGTCCCAAACGTCTGCTGGTCAGTCTGATGTGGCCGTGTGTCTTTCCACGACGTCAGCGGATTCACGGTGCCTGTAGAACAGATAATGACACTTCTGTTGATTAAAGACTGTAAATCCGTGCCTTCGACTCACCTGCCCCATTTCAAACACACAACACAGACTCCCATGCATAACACGCAGAGTTAAAGTCTCTGACTGGCACGCTGTGAGCTCATGGTGCCGACTGGATGATCCGAAGTGGCTGTTCTGGACGAGACACCCTGCCACAAACCCAGAGGCTCAGAGCGGGTGACGCTGAAGAGACGTGACAGGACCGAAGCAAAGTCACAGCGGCACTGTGGGCAACACGGACCCGGCCCGGACCTCCGGGTGCGATGCGGTCTACGGGTTAGACAGGGTTCACATCGGCTTACACACTGTCTGTGCTCCCGAGCCAAAATCAAGTCTCTTGTGTGAGATTTGCCTCAATATCAGTACAGATGAATTGAGGCATTGAATCTGTATTTCAACTCTTTCCCCGCCAGCGTTTTTTGGAAAAAGTTGCCAGCGCGCACCAGCATTTTTTGATCATTTTCACAAAAATTGAATGCATGGCCCCCAGAATATTTTTTTTATTAAGAACTGAACATGCAATATATATATAAAAAATAAAAAAAAACTTTTTATTCTAGCTTCATGCATTTTATTATTTGAATATGGGTAAGTATCATTAAAAAAAAAGCAACATTTTGAGCAAAAAGCTGAGAAAATTATGTTTTATCAAAGACCATGCCTGGATGGGATTGAGAATGATGATCTAAACACAGATGGAAAGGTTCGGCTTACACACTGTCTGTGCTCCCGAGCCAAAATCAAGTCTCTTGTGTGAGATTTGCCTCAATATCAGTACAGATGAATTGAGGCATTGAATCTGTATTTTAACTCGTTCCCTGCCAGCGTTTTTTGGAAAAAGTTGCCAGCGCGCACCAGCATTTTTTGATCATTTTCACAAAAATGTTTCACAAATATTTGTTTTCATAAATAACTGAACATGCAATATATCAAAGGAAAGAACAAAAAAAAAAACATTTGTCTCTTGTGCGAGATTTGCCTCAATATCAGGACGGATGATATGAGGCATTGAATCTGTAACTTAACTCTTTCTCCGCCAGTGTTAAATTTAAAAAAAAAAATTTTAAAGCGCGCGCCAGCATTTTTTTTTATCTTATCACAAAAATTTCATGCATGGCATGAAAAGAATATTTTGCAATATACATGCAATATATCAAAAGAAAGAACAGAGCTTCTGCTTTTCAAAAACAAAACAAAAATAAAAAAAATGCATTATTATTATTTTTTTATCAACACTTGATTATGGGTAAGTTTCATAAAAATGCAACATTTTGAGCAAAAAGCTGAGAAAATCATGTTTTGTCAAAGTCTATGTCCGGATGGGATCCATCTACACCCCCAAAGCTTCACAGTTCTATCCTCGTCCTGGGTCGACATTTCATTCAGAAACAATCAGTTTCCTGACATTTATATGAGCCTGATTTCAACACCGGTGAAATACATAAAGCAAATTTGCCTGTGAACGCTTTATATAAATACAATATAGGTCTAAATCCATGTGATCACTTATATCAATGTTTTAGCCTATATAGCATCATATCGTCCAGCCCTAAAACTTGTAGTTCAGTGTTTATTGAAAAACTGCGTAGAATATATGATAAATATTTAATTGATGAGTTGTCAATACAATATATAACAATACAATATATAGGTTTAGATTTTACTGCTAAATTCAGCATATTGACATAAAATAATAACTGTAAATCCAGCTTTCTCTGCCTGGATCCAGTTGTTTCTATGAATTGCAGTGATCATTTGCTTCTCTGTTCTGTAGCTTTCGGGAGTCTGTAAAAATATACCTCAGATTTATTGTCAAATCGAGTTGTACAGTCGATCTCAAAGCTCTTTCTCGGTTTAGATGTGTTTAGTGTGTTTTTCACGGCATTCATGGTGAAAACTAATGATGCCACTCAGTGTGTGTAACCGCAGTCACTCCGGCCGACGGTGACGTCACACACATACCCTCTATATAAGTGTTTAGACGTAGGTCAGATGTTGGATATTTATACGATTTAAAACCACATTTGGAAGTGGCTCAGAAGGGATGTGGAAAAATCTGATCATGCAGATTTTTGTGTTTACACGTGTGCTATGAAAATAAGTTTAGTATTTTATTGTTAACAGTCATTTTGAGTACGATTTTTTTCCACAAGGATGCATTAAATTGATCAAAAGAGACATTTATGATATTCTGGGTTATAAAACGGAAGATTGAGGCTGTAGAAAGGTTTTTTTAGGATGTGTTTGCCCAGAGTTTGAACCAGTATCGTTCTGATATATGTTTGTGGACACCGATTCTGTGTCTCTTCCCGTTTCTGTGTCCGTGCGCCTCCAAACCTCCCATGGGCCGCACACACACCACGTCTATGTTTACGAGGACGCAGGCAGCAAACGATCCGCATCTCATGACACATCTGTCCGGGTGACCTCACATCCATGTCTGCCACCGGATCTTATTTACATCATTCACATCACCAGCGGACATATGCACCCCACGTCTCAAAGCGCTGATAAAGGGATCCGTCTGCATTTAATACTGTGATATTACTGTAGTATGGGGTTAGATTGCTTGCATTATTCCATTTAAATAGATTGAGATTCATCTGTGCATTTTGACACATACTGTAGGACTGATGCCAAGATAACACAACTCTACTAATGATGCATTAAAAGGTCCATGTTCTTCATTTTAATCGCATTTATTTATTTCCCCCTTCATTAATCATGATTGACAAGGTGTTTTGCACCAGAAACTGTTTTGTATCTCTATCTGACCCTTAATAGGGATGTGCAAAATAAGCCAAAACTAATTTATATGAAGTTGAACACCATTACGCTGGTTTCAGGTCATGTTCACTCGACACGGATCAGATCCGATAGAAATATATGGATGTAAAGCGCAACCCTAAGACAGATATTCATCAAATATCAGACTAAACAATCACCTTTTACTGCATGAAACTATTATTCTTCACAAAAAGATGAAGAACTACAGATTATGCATCACAACGGGAACATTGCTCTCAGCAGGGCGAGTGAGTCGTCTTAAACTATTGTTGAAATCGAGGTTCTGTCAGCAGCGCGCTAATACACTCCTCACACCAGCAGAGTCATCATCAAAACATGAAGCTGAAGGAGAGGGGGGGCTAAAACAAGAGAAGAGGAAAAGATGATGATGATGAAGTATAAGACAAGGAAAAAGATGAAGATTATGATGATGATTATAATGATAAGGAAGTATATGACAAGGAAGAGGAAGAAGATGAAGAAAATATCAATAGCAGAAGAAGCAGATAAGGAAGATACGGAAGAGGAGACTTAAAAACAAAAAAACAAGATGAAGAAGAGGAAGACGAAGAGGAGGAGAAATAAAAAGACCAAGACAAAAACAAGAAGATGAGGAAGAGGAGAAATAAAGACCAAGACAAAAACAAGATGAGGAAGAGAGAAATAAAAAGACCAAGACAAAAACAATAAGATGAGGAAGAAGATGAGAAAAAGGAGAAATAAAGACCAAGACAAGAAGATGAGGAAGAAGATGAGGAAGAGGAGAAATAAAGACCAAGACAAGAAGATGAGGAAGATGAGGAAGAAGAGAAATAAAGACCAAGACAAAAACAAGATGAGGAAGAGAGAAATAAAAAGACCAAGACAAAAACAATAAGATGAGGAAGAAGATGAGGAAGAGGAGAAATAAAAAGACCAAGACAAGAAGATGAGGAAGAAGATGAGGAAGGGGAGAAATAAAAAAAATAAAAAAACAAGATGAGGAAGAAGATGAGGAAGAGGAGAACTAAAAAGACCAAGACAAAAACAAGAAGATGAGGAAGATAAGCGGAGAAATAAAAAGAACAAAAAAAAAAAAACCAAGAAGATTAGGAAGAAGATGAGGAAGAGGAGAAATAAAAAGAACAAAAAAAAAAAGATGAGGAAGAAGAGAACTAAAAAGACCAAGACAAGAAGATGAGGAAGAAGATGAGGAAGAGGAGAAATAAAGAAAAAAAAAAAAAGATGAGGAAGAAGAGAACTAAAAAGACCAAGACAAGAAGATGAGGAAGAAGATGAGGAAGAGGAGAAATAAAAAGAACAAAAAAAAGAAGATGAGGAAGAAGAGAACTAAAAAGACCAAGACAAGAAGATGAGGAAGAAGATGAGGAAGAGGAGAAATAAAGAACAAAAAAAACAAGATGAGGAAGAAGATGAGGAAGAGGAGAACTAAAAAGAACAAAAAAATCCAAGAAGATTAGGAAGAAGATGAGGAAGAGAAATAAAAAGAACAAAAAAAAAAAAATAAGAAGATGAGGAAGATGAGGAAGAGGAGAAATAAAAAGAACAAAAAAAACAAGATGAGGAAGAGGAGAACTAAAAAGACTAAGACAAAAACAAGAAGATGAGGAAGATGAGAAATGAAAAGAACAAAAAAATAAGAAGATGAGGAAGAAGAGAAATAAAAAGAACAAAAAAAATAAGAAGATGAGGAAGAAGATGAGGAAGATGAGAAATAAAAAGAACAAAAAAAATAAGAAGATGAGGAAGAAGATGAGGAAGATGAGAAATAAAAAGAACAAAAAAAATAAGAAGATGAGGAAGAAGATGAGGAAGATGAGAAATAAAAAGAACAAAAAAAATAAGAAGATGAGGAAGAGGATAAATAAAAAGAACAAAAAAAGAAGATGAGGAAGAAGAGAACTAAAAAGACCAAGACAAGAAGATGAGGAAGAAGATGAGGAAGAGGAGAAATAAAGAAAAAAAAAACAAGATGAGGAAGAAGATGAAGAGAGAAATAAAAAGAACAAGAAAAAAATGATGAGAGAAGAGGATGAAAAAAACAAAAACAAAAAAAACAAGATGATGATGAGCAAGTATATGACCAGGCAGAAGAAGAAGAAGAAGATGACAAAGAATAACAAAAATAACTAAAACAAAGCAGCGGAAACAGATGAGGAAGAGGAGGAAAAA